CTTACCAGGAATATACAAAAGAGTATATGTAAATATTGTGTACACTTTCTTGTTTCAATACATTTTGTTCTAAGTAGCTTTTGCGTTGCATTATTATTCCATGCATTAGTCAAGTTTCAACAGCATGATACTGTGGGCCAATTTCTGCACTGGAAAATCTGCAACTTTTATGGGAAGGAAACTGCAAGAAACTGGTATGAGCACCATCCAGACCCCGTTACAGAGATAGCATCAGTAACAAATTTATGGGACTTTACAATACACACAGACAGAACAATCAAAGCTAATCGTCCAGGCATCGTGATCAAAGACCACAAGAACAGAATGTGCATAAGCACATTCTATTCTTGTGGTCTTTGGCAGTCCCTGCAGACTACAACGTATCTTTGAAGATCCTCAAAAAACTATCAAAATACAAGGATCTTGAAGGAGAAAGCTCAAAATGTGGTAGACAAAGACATCAATAATTTCAGGTGTAGTTGATCCAACCACAAATAGAATTATTCATAAGGGATTCCCTCGGTTGGATTGGAAAAAAAGATCCGATAGACTCATTGAAAGGAGCTGAAAGATATCCCCCCCCAAATATAGTCATAAGTACAGCTCACACTTTTCGAAGGGATTTATGTATGTATTTGGAATCTTCAGGGCCTTAGATTCAACACGAAAGCCTGCATCAAGTGCCTTGAGGAAGCAGTGCTGCTCTGGGTCAAGAGGGTGGCCGCTGGAAGACTGTATGTCTGGCAACAGGACTCTGCACCATGTCATACAAGCAGGAGAACCCAGACATGGCTGTGAGACCATTTCTGTATCAACCTTTACATCTGGCCACCTAACTCCCCAGACTGCAAACCCCTTTTATTATTATTTGTGGTGTGCAGTTGAGTGAGACACCAACAAAACTCTTTGTAACACCAAAGATGAACTGAAAGCAAGGATTATGGCAGCATTCACAAGGAGACCGTCCAGAACAGTTACAGGAGATACCGAATCGTCATTGTGGCAGCCAATGGCCATTTTATTGAATAAATTTAGTATTTCAAAATATTTTTGTGCAATTTTTGTAAATATATCTGTTAAAGTGTGACGTCATTGGTATTTTCATTTTTGCGAAATTCAGACGACGATTTATCCATCGCATACAGTAGCGTCCAAAACTAAAGGACAAAATTTTAAAACCTAATATTTGTTAGAAATAACAACTGTGAAAAGCTGAAATTTTGACAACTGGTAGTCGTTATCATCCATAATAACATACTAAAATTTGAATCATTTGCAAAGGATAGAAAAGAATTATAACAATTATTTATTTATTTTCAAATTTGGAACGTCCAAAAGTAAGGGACAAAATTGAGAAAAACAATGTAAACGCAAAAAAAACAACAAAAAATACATGTACAATCAATATTTAGTAAATGAGCCCTTGCTCTCAATGACAGCTGCACATCTTCGACTACAAGAACGAATCAGTTCTTGACAATCCTCGATACTAATTTTAGACCATTCTTCTTGAAGCTTCACCCACAAATCCTCCGTGTTAGCGGGATTTCTTTCCATAACTTTCGTTCCTAAGGTCTTCCAAAGATTTTCTATTGGATTTAAGTCAGGACTTTGCGGTGGCCAATCCATAATTTCCAAATCTTGCTCGCTAAGGTAACTCATTACCACCTTTGCCTTGTGACATGGGGCATTATCTTGCATAAAGGTAGCCCTATCGAAACCTGAATTCTGTATGATTGGCACAACATGCTGTTTGAACAATGTTTTTATAGATCTGCGCGTTTACACGAGTTTCTAACCGGACAAAAGGCGTTGTACCTTGGCTAGAAAACATTCCAAATACCATGACGCTTCCGCCCCCAAACTTGATAGTTTTCTTAGTACACTTTGCACTTAATCTTTCACCAATACGTCTCTTTACATTGTTTTTTTTTCCATCATTTCCAAATAAATTAAACTTGCTTTCATCACTGAAAAATTTTTGCCCAATTTTCATATGTCCAAATTACATACCTGTTTGCAAACTCTAATCTCTTCTTCTTATTCTTCGAACTAACAAGTGGTTTCTTCCTGGGGTTCGATTAAACAGCCCTATTTCTTGCAGTCGTTACAAACAGTCTGTCTTGACACATTAACACATGAGGTACTATTCATAACCCTTTTAATTTCTGTGCAAGACTTAAAACGGTCCTTTAATGACATACGCTGCATTATTCGATCTTCTCTTGCCGAAGTTTTGCGGGGTCTGCCGGTTTTAAAAGCACTAACTATTTTGCCAGTATCATTGTAGGATTTAACAACACTGCCTACAACACTCTTGGAACGTTTCACTTCCTCTGAAATCTCTCTAATGGTGTGCTTTGTTTGTGTAGCTTCACAATAGCTTGTCTCACAGAGTAATCAAGTTTTTGGCGTTTCGCCATGGTGCCAGCTGATGCAACGTTTACAAATGACTAAGTAAGACTTATTCTTTAGAGGAAATCAAAAAATTGGAATATAGTTTACATTGTTTTTCTCAATTTTGTCCCTTACTTTTGGACGATCCTATTTTGAAAATAAATAAATAAATGTTATAATTCTTTTTCTATCCTTTGCAAATGATTCAAATTTTAGTATGTTATTATGGATGACAACGACTACCAGTTGTCAAAATTTCAGCTTTTCACAGTTGTTATTTCTAACAAATATTAGGTTTTAAAATTTTGTCCCTTAGTTTTGGACGCTACTATATATATATATATATATATATATATATATATATATATATATATATATGTGTGTGTGTGTGTGTGTGTGTGTGTGTGTGTGTGTGTGTGTGTGTGATTGTTGTGAAACCTCCGTGTGTACAAATTAAAAATGAAGGAAAGAAACATGATTTGAGGTAAAAACTTTGTAAACAAAAATAAATGAATAAATAAATAGATTAAATTATATTAAAGAAGAGAAAATAGTTTAAAATATTTATTGAATATTAGCACCAAATACAAATCATCACAGTTTTGCAGACAGAAAAAATAAAATAAAAATAAAAATAAAAATAATCAAAACTGTGAAAATAACTAAAACAATAGAAATAAGGACAGTCGATAACAGTAGAAGGCTTTGAATGTTGATTAGAATTCCAGCCGAAATCAATGGCGAATAAAAAGAGAGAAACGACTCAAATAAATGCGAAGGAAAGGAAAAAAATAACCCGATTTAACATCAACATTAAACTCATAAATAAGTGCAAAGACAAATACACTTTAAAAGTCAAAAAAGGTGTTAAAAAAAAAAACCAAAACAAAAATAAAACTGTAAAAAAAACTATCAAAATGTCAGAGGTAATATTAATGGTGATATTAGCCGCTTCCTTATAAAGAAACATTTGGCATTCATTGACAGTGCAGCTAATAAAAGCGTTAAAATTTATGTGGATGACGTTATATATATATATATATATATATATATATATATATATATATATATATATATATATATATAGAAACAACTTTTAAGAAAAATAGGTTTCTCACGTCCAGTAGCTGTTATCGCTCCTTCCGTTCTCGATGAGGTTCCATGATTTGGATATCTCTCACATCCGAAGTTCACTCAATGAAAAGCATATCTTCAATCGACTGCCATTTTTATTTTTTTATTCGAACGTAAGACCTTTTGTTTATTTTTTTTATTCGAACGTAAGACCTTTTGTTTATTTTTTTTATTCGAACGTAAGACTTTTTGTTTATTTTTTTTTTATTCGAAGTAAGACCTTTTGTTTATTTTTTTCTTTAATTTTACATTTATACGAACATTTCGCATTTTGTATATTTTAAATCGGAATCATAACGCGTATATTGTGTATTTATAGTGTTTTTCTCTCGATCATTGCCATATATCGTTTGTATATTATTTTTTATTTTATTAGTTTGTCATCGGTTTTAAGCGATACATATATATAAATATAATATGGAGCTTCTTTAATACTTGTTATACTCCAAGATCATTTCGTCGTCTATTATATTTAACGACTTCAAATTTGTATATAGTTTAAATCAATGTTAAGGAATATTATAGTGCTTATTGTACTTTTATTTTATTTTATTTTTAATTTCATTTTTGTATGTACGGGAAATATATATATATACGCCATGTTTATGGACAATTATTATCTTAATTTTGCGAAAACATCCATTTAAAGTTAACATGCAGTAATGTTAAGAAACAGGCTAAACGATAAAATGTGATAATAGGGTTGAGTTTAAGTATCCCTGTCAAAAGAAAAGAAAAAAAAGTACAAATAAAATAAAAACAGCAAATAATTAAATCTTACAATACTTAAGGAAAAGGGTAAGATTTAGGAAGATTAAGATTACCTCCTCAGTTATCCATCGAAACCGCAATCCACCGAAATAAGAAAAGAAGCCAGTCCCCACCGCGGGCCATTTAAAAGATAGTTCGCGCATCGGATTGGTTGTTACAAGCATCCAATCGGATGCGCGGAATATGTGGTCTTTCTTCCTCTTATTCTTTAAAAAGGCCAGAGTAGCTGTTAACGTTTAATTGAAAGGGGGAATCAGGGGTTAATCTCTCCTGATTGGGTCGATTTGGTGATGGGGGAGTATGATGATGAAAGACCCGAAACTCCCTGATGAACCAAATCAAAACATCACTGACGATCCCCTTGGGCGCCTACTTAAAAGCGTATTTGCGAATTAAATAGGCTGAAAAAAAAATAATGCTCGAACCATTATATAATTCTAGGAAGCGTCTCGCTCCCTCGGACATGCTTTCATCTTTCTAGGTTGGGATTACACATTCCAGTCTTTTGGGACTTCTAAAATCGTTTGCGTGATCTTGTGGAGTAAAATTTAATCTCCTACATGCCTTGTCTTTCCCGAAGACGCAACATCACAATCCTATCGTTACTCTATCACTACACTATCGCAAACCTATCGCCACACTATCGCAAGCCTATCCGTATTCTATTTCCATCATATCGCTACTCAATCGCAAGGCAAATGCGACTTTATTGCAAGCATATCGCTACTCTATCTCAAGCCTATCGCAGGGCTATCGCTACTCTATGGCAATCTTATCGTTATTCTATCGCTACTCTATATCAAGCTTATCGCTACTCAATTGCAAGACTATCGTTACTGTATGGTAAGCCCATCTCTACTCTATCGTAAGCCTACCGCTACTCGATCACAAGCCTATCGCTACTTTAACGCAAGCCTATCGCTACTCTAACGTAAGCCTATCACTATTCTAAGAAAAGTCTAACGCTATTTCTCTCGCTACGCTATATCAAGCGTATAACTACTCTATGGCAAGCCTATCGCTATCCCATTGCTTCTCTATAAAAAATCTATCTCTAGTCTATCGTAAGCTTATCGCTATTCCATTTCAAGATTGCCTTTACTATATCGCAAGACTATCAGTACTCTAACAAAAGCCTATCGTTATTTCTATCGCTACTCTATATCAAAGCTATTGCTACTCTATTGCAAGCCAATCTCTACTCTATCTCAAGCCTATCGCTATTCTATTGCTACTCTATATCAAGCCTATCGTTAATCTATCGTAGGCCAATCGCTACTCTATGGCAAGCCTATCACCACTCTACTGCTATTCTGTCGCAAACCCATCTCTACTCTATCGCAATACTATCCTTACCTTATATTCATCCTATCGCTATCTCAACCTTATCCCTACTCTATAGAAAGCCAGCTGCTACTTTACAGGAAACTTGTCTATATTCTATCGCTACTCTATCGCAAGCATATCACGACTCTCTGGCAAGCCTATCGCTATTCTATGGCTACTCTATATTAAGCCTACCGCTACTCTATCGCAAGTTTATGGCAATACTATCCCTCAAGCTTATCACTTACTCCATCGCAAGCCTATTGCTACTCTATGCAAGCCTATCGCTATTCTATGACTACTCTATATCAGGCTTATAGCTACTCTATTGTAAGCCTGTCGCTACTCTATGGCTAGCGTATCGCTATTTAGTCTCAAGCTTATTGCAACTCTATCTCTATTCTATCGCTAAAATATCGCAACCCTACTGCTACACTATCTCAGGCCTATCGCCACCCGATCCCAAGCCTATAGCTACTCTATTGCAAGCCTATTTCTACACTGTCGCAAGCCCCTCGTTACTTTATGGCAAGACTATCGCTAGTCTTGTTAGACATTTTGACGGTCGTCTTCGAGTATAGAATCCAGAGGTTGGCAGTGAATATTTCGAAGACAGTAGGAAAGCGTAGTGCAGGTTCGCAGTGGATATCGCAGCAAAGTAGCAGAGCGTAGTTCTTCCTTCTGGCATGTTCGCCTGACAAGTTGGCTCTGGTCATTCCGGTAGGTTAAACAAAGATGGCCGCCTTTATACACGACGGATACAGTGTTCTGCGGCTTCTGATTGGTTAATCTTCTATTGGTAGACTATAAAGGGAATTAAGTCATTTTGACTAACTCACTAGTTACATGCCTGTATACACAAAAAACTGTAACAAGTCTATGGCAAGCCTATCGCTACTTTATTGCTACTCTGTCGCAAGCTTATCTCTACACTATCTCAAACCCATCGCTATTCTATTGCAACACTGTCTCAAGTCCATCGCTACTCTATCGCTATTCTATTGCTACACTGTCTCAAGTCTATCGCTAGTCTATCGCAAGCCAATCTCCACTCTATGGCAAGCCTATCACAACTATATTGTTACTCTGTTGCAGACCTATCGCTACTCGATCGAAATCTTATCCGTACCCTATCTCCATCCTATCGCTAAACTATATCCACCCTATTTCTAATTTATCGTATGCCTATCGCTACGCTACATCAAGCAAACCGCTACTCTATCGCCACTTTATTACAAGCTTATCGTTTCTCTATGGCAAGCGTATCGTTACCCTATCTGAAGCCTATCGTTACTCTATCACAATACTATCGACACTCTATAGCTATTTATCGTAAGTCTATCCGTACTCAATTTCTACCTTATCGCTACCCTATCTTAAGCCTATTGCTACTCTATTGTTATAACCTATTGCTGCTCTATGGCAAGCCTATTTCTATTCTATGGTTACTCTATATCAAGCTCATCGCTACTCTATTACAAGCCTGTCGCTACTGTATGGCTAGCGTATCGCTATTCAACCGCAAGCCTATTGTTGATCTATCACTATTCTATCGCTACCCTATCTCAAGCCTATCGCTACACTATGACATGCTTATCACTAATCTATCACTACTGTATAGCAAGCCTTTTGTTGCTCTATTGCTAATCCATCACAAGCCTCTCTTGATTCTATGGCAAGACTATCGCTATTTTATCGCTACCTAACGTTTTTATTATCATTTAATAATAATAATTGCTATTAAAACATAATAAACCTGACGTGTTTATTACCATTTCATAATAATGAGTATTAAAATTGATAATAAACCTAGCGTGTTTATTGCCATTTAATAATAATTACTATTGAAATTGATAATAAAACTAACGTTTTTATTATCATTTAATAATAACTGCTATTAAAACAGATAATAAACCTAACGTGTTTATTACCATTCCATGATTATTACTTTTAAAATTGACAACAAACCTAACGTTTTTATTACCATTTTGACTGAAATTCACTACATTGATTGCCTCTTGAGCCTATATTGGTGGAAAATTACGATTGAAAATTAAAAATAAACCTAAGATTTCTATTACCATTTTGTCTGTAACCCACTACATTGATTGGCTCTTTGGCCTTTTACTTGTGAAAAATTACTATTAAAAATTAATAATAAGCCTAATTACTAATCGTATTACCATTTTGACTGTAACTCACTAGTTTGATTGGCTTTCGAGCCTTTTATTGGGTGACAAAATATAATCCAAACGTTTGTATTTACTTTTCGATGTGGCTTCTTCTTTTTTGGCATCATTTAAACAGGATGCAAATGGGGTTATGTCTGGTGAATATCGTCCTCAAATGACAAAGTCTAGTTTAGCTCCAAACGAAATTACGTTAATAGAGACGACCAGAAATAACTGGAAAATCAGTTTTTGCAATTTGTCTTAGAGATATTTTCAACCTCGGTGCGTTTCATATTTTTTCCCCTCCAAATTTGTCCTTCATAAGAGTCGGTAGCTAAAACTGATTTTAAAATCGAATTTTTATTCTAATTCCATTTCCATATAAGACAGATAAGATCACAATCTTTATCCAATATTTAAAATTTAGAATTTTTTAACTACTTTTCACCATTTTGTATATATATATATATATATATATATATATATATATATATATTGATTACTTTTAAAAAATTATAACATGAAAATGTTATAAAATCACTACAAAATAGCCATTTTGTTAACACCTCCGGTGTCTTATCAAGTAATGATGTTGAATGATGTTACATTCAACATCATCACTTGATAAGACACACCAGGGGTGTTGGAACAAAAATTTTGTAGTGATTTTATAACATATTTATGCTATAAATTTTTTTAAAAAATAATTATATCCGCTCTACTTTGTATTGAGCACTCTTTTAAGAATAGTATTTGTTGGTTATTGGAATTCATTCCGTATATACCAATTATATACGTGGTTATACATATATATATATATATATATATATATAGAGAGAGAGAGAGAGAGAGAGAGAGAGGAGAGAGAGAGAGATTTTTTTTATGCTTATACGTACTTTTTATAGATACAAATAATATGCTCTGCTTATAATAGACAGTATTAGCGAGATTTAGCAGCCTGAATGCCCGAGAAATTTACATAGAAAATATTCGTCCTCCGACAGGAATCGAACCTGTATCCTATACGGAACCGTCATATAGCCTGACGTGCTTTTACCGATTTCGTCACAGAGGAGCGTTTCGGTTAGCAAGGTCGGTTTTACTGTTTTTAAACTACAATTTTCCATGAATTTCTCTCGTACATTCATATCTGCTCGTTGCGTATCCAAATGTAAACAAATGATGTCACACATTATGAAAGGGAAAAAGTCCGACAATTATTTTAAGACAATTATTTTATGGTTATACGTTCTTTTTACCGATATCAAGCAGATATGAATGTACGAGAGAAAATCATGAAGAATTGTAGTTTAAAAACAGTAAAATCGACCTTGCTAATCGTAACTCTCCTCTGTGGCTCAATCGGTAAAGCACGTTAGGCTATATGACGGTTTCGTATAGGATACAGGTTCCATGTTCTTAAATTAGTCTGTTCATATCTATATATCTCAGTTTGAATGCTATCTGTCTAAATTTTTCTTCATATCTATCTATCTATCTATCTATCTATCTATCTATCTATCTATCTATCTCGGTTTGTTCTTAAATTAGTCTGTAAATATCGATATATTTAAATCTGCTTATATCTCATTATCTATCTCTGTTTCAGTCTGCCCATATCTATCTATCTATCTATCTATCTATCTATCTATCTATTAAAAAATATTTTAAAAAAGTGTTGTTTTGCAGTTGGCTCTTTTTTGCTCGCCGAGCTACAAAGTAAGAACACCAAGGCTAACGTATAAACTCGGTGTGCACGAGCTGATCTCCTCTTGACTCAACTAGTGCAGGTAAGGAAATGGTGCGTGTAGAAGACAGAAGAAATGGTTCTCCCTTTTACGCTTCAGTTAGATTAACCCCTAGGGGCAAAAATATGAATACATCCCACCAATTAGGTCCCCTCAACGATTATACGAGGCTTTCAGCTCACAACGCAAATCGGATCATTTTTTTTAAAAAAACCAGTGTCACCCCAAGGAAGGCAGTACAGTCACTAACACGCAAGGTGTTACAGGTTATGGAGGAATTAACAACAGAAACATTAGTAATGATGAGAAAAAGAAAAGAGTAACCAGGAAGACAGTAGATAGCGATTGACATTGCATTCAAATTTTTTGCAGATTAAAGTTGGCTGAATAGCATGGAGCCGGAAGGGAGTTCCACAAACGAGAAGTGAGGGAAAAGAAATTATCTAAAATCATTAATCCAGTTTAATGAAATAAAGAATTAGGAAAACCGAAACATTAATAATGAGCGAGGAGAGAAAAGATCAATCGGGAGGACATTAGATAGCGTTTGGCATTGCATTTAAATTCTTGCAGTTTAAAGCATGGAGCCGGAAGGGAGTCCCATGGACGAGAAGTGCGAGAAAAGAAACTGCATCTAGCTAGCTCAACCGTACGAATTTATCGCATTACTGGACTTACGGCGTGATTGCATCAATTATGTTTTACACGCACGCAAAAAAAACACACACACACACACACACACACACACACACACACACACACACACACACACACACACACATATATATATATATATATATATATAACATTAGGCAGCATATAATTTATATACAAAGAAATAATCACACATAGAATCAATCAGTAATATTAATGCTATTATTGGCGACATCCATCGCTAGTAGTGTATAATGTATGCATTAAAATACTGTTAATCCATAGAGTGATGTGATCCTCATCTATAAAACTGTTGTCTGTTGTTTCCTGTTTATATTTTTTTATAATGCAAGTACTTTCGAATAATCCTTTATTCATCGTCAGGGATATTTTTTCCTTATAAAATCAAAAAACTTGGAGACGAAATAATTGTTTGTAGACCGAAAGATGTTTTTTTCTGAGAATGTGCTATTATTGACGGTTGTGTACAATATCGGAAGACGCAACGCTAAGTTTTTAAAAATTTTAGAATTTTATTTGAACTTTTCTTGTGATGTGTTAAATCCACGTATTCTATTTTTACAAGTGTATTCAGTTAATATGTCATGAACTAAGTATATAGTTCAATTAATATAGTGTTATGTCTTAGTAGTAGTTTGTTTTATAGGAATTTTTTTGTACTGCGGATCGATACTGAATACACGTGCAAAAATAGAATACGTGGATTTAACACATCACAAGAAAAGTTCAAATAAAATTCTCACTTAAAATTTTGAAAAACTTAGCGTTGCGTCTTTGCACGTTCCGAGATTGTACACGACCGTCAATAATAGCACATATTTAAAAAAAAAAAAAAAACATCTTTCGGTCGACAAACAATTATTTCGTCTTCAAGTTTTTGATTTTATAAGGAAAACATATGCCTGACGATGAATAAAGGATTATTCGAAAGTACTTGCATTTTAAAAAAATATAAACTGGAAACAACAGACAACAGTTTTATAGATGAGGATCACATCACTCTATGGATTAACAGTATTTTAATGCATACATTATACACTACTAGCGATGGATGTCGCCAATAATATCATTAATATTGCTGATTGATTCTATGTGTGATTATTTTTTTTATATATATATATATATATATATATATATATATATATATATATTGGACTAAGTTCAAAGAAAGTATTTATAAAAAAAAGCGGTGGGCAACTGACTGAAACCGAGTTGCCAGGACTAATAATGTGGCTGATTCTTCTTTGCATCTTATCAAGGAGCTCCGGGTAAATTGCAGGGACACCTGACCATATATGGTAGCAATATTCTCAACATGGACAAATGGTAGATATGTAAGAGAGATTTATAGATATTCAGGAAAGAAGAATTGTCTCTCCTGACACAGTGAACCAACTTTCTTAGCAGCTGATCTCGCGATAGATTCAATATAATTGAATTACACTTCATGGCAGCTGAGAACGTTAGCTTTGACGAGCCACTTTCCTTGAGGACAGCATCAGCCATGATGAGGGTAGGCTGAGAGGTGGGGGGAGGTCTCTCAGCATATTAATGGAGAGAAGATTAGTTTTGGAGACGTTAAAATTGACAAGCCATCATTTGCCCAGTTAACCACGGTCTTAGGTCGTTTTGTACATTTTGATCTTGTCGGGCTGATCAGCCTTCGTATTGAGGCAGGGGCAAATGATAGCGTCGTCGGCGTAGATGCAAAGTTTGAGAGCTGATGTTATCAGACAGGAAGGTCGTTAATGATGATTAAAAAAAAGCGTAGGGCCAAGGACAGAACCCTGGGTGACACCCGCGTTAGTACGAAAGGATGTAGACGAGTGGCCGTTCAGGACAACCTTCATTTCACGATTTGATAAGAACGACCGGATCAGCTCCAAAATAAGCCAAGAGATACGTACGTTTTCAGCTTGTGGAAAAGACCCGAATGCCAGACCCTGTCAATGTCTTTCGAGATTTCCAATGCTACTTCCCGACTTACACCGTTGTTATCTAGAGCATGACAGACTCTTTCCGCAATTATCGTTAGTACATCAGCAGTTGGCCTGGAGAAACGAAAACCGTACTGCTTGTCTGAGAAAAAGGTCCTGCGACGTGAGATGATGAACCAATTCAACATTGATTAGGGCCTCTAGGAGTTTACCCAATACAGACGAAAGGCTAATAGGCCGATAGTTGGATGGGTCGGGCTGCTCACAAGAGTTCTTAGGCGATGACTTCCAGCATACAGGAAAGCAGGAGGCAGCCAGGCATTTATTATACAGTTTAGAGAGAACAGGAGCCAGTTCGGGAACACACTCCTTAATGACCATTATAGAGATACCATCGGGTCCACATTAGATTAGAGATGATAGGAGAAAACACGGAAGGGGTTATATGCATATCACTCAGCAGAGAAAATTGTACATATTTTAGTTTTATGGCCAATGTATTTTTTTTGGATTATTTTTTTCTTTGGCCTTCTCTTATGTGATTTATATCCGAAAACTTTGTATAATTTAGTTTTTATGATCAATATTAGTTTTATGATTAGTGTTGTCTTTGGTCTTTCATTATCTGATTTATATCCGAAAACTCTGTAGAATTTTGTTTTATCTTCAGTGTTAGTTTTGTGGTTAGTGTTGTCTTTGGCCTTACCTGATCTGGTTTTATCTGAAAACTGTGTATAATTTACTTTTCATGATCAATATTAGTTTTATGATTAGTGTTGTCTTTGGTCTTTCATTATCTGATTTATATCCGAAAACTCTGTAGAATTTTGTTTTATCTTCAGTGTTAGTTTTATGGTTGGTGTTGTCTTTGGCCTTCCCTGATCTGGTTTTATCTGAAAACTGTGTATATTTTAGTTTTTATGATCAATATTAGTTCTATGATTAGTGTTTCTTTGATCTTCCCTTATCTGATTTCTATCTGAAAAATGTTATTTCGTCTGAAGAACTATTGTAATGCTAATAATTATTCTGAACTCTGTTGAAAGTACCAAATTATTCGTTTTTTACGGCGATATTTATTTCTTATCTAGGAATACGACCCATTTATTCCTATTTAGCCTCTTTTTATACAGATTTTTGAATATTTTTTTTCGAGAAGCATATGTTGAAATACCTGTTTAATACTCAAAATCCTATAACAGCTACAATCATTTCCAATCGACTACCATTTTTGTTAAGTCGAGCATCGCCCAGCGTAAAGGTCGAAACCGCTCACCGGTGTGTGATATCGCCCATGGAGGGAGACTCTGATAGACGAGAGGCAAGCAATTTTATTTTCACTTTGATGTATATTTAATTCTGCAAGTAAAAAGAAAAAAAAATGGAAACAAATAATTTAGAATAGATTCATTTTTGTTCATTTATTTATTCTGGTAGATATTTGAGCGGTTAAAATCATTGAATTGTGTGTGGCTTTGATTTAGTGTCGAACTGTAAGTCTGTCGGGAGACAAGGAAGTGGAACGATTCAAATTTGGTATTTAGAGCACGCGAAAAAGGGTTAGAATAAATTCTAGGAACTATTTTCATATTTTTTTTTTTTTGTATAAATACTTCAGTTCGTTGATACCTGCACGATATCTATCAGTTTCATCAATCAATCAATCAATCAATCTATCTATCTATCTATCTATCTATCTATCTATCTCAGTCTGTTCATTATCTATCTATCTATCTATCTATCTATCTATCTATCTATCTATCTATCTATTCGCTATCTATCTATCTATCTATCTATCTATCTATCTATCTATCTATCTATCTATCTATGTTCATTATCTATCTCAGTCTGCTCATTTTCTATCTAGCTATCTCAGATTTTCCTTATCCATATTTCAATATCTATCTCAATCTGTTCACTATCTATCTATCTATCTATCTATCTATCTATATCAGTCTTTTCGTTATCCTACTATGTTAAATATAACACTACCTTTTCATTGTCTATCCATATCAGTATTTTCATTATCTGTGTTCAATGTCTATCTCAGTATATTCATTATCTATCTATCTATCTATCTATCTATCTATCTATCTATCTATCTATCTATGTTCATTATCTATCTAGCTAGCTAGATAGATAGATAGATAGAGATCCACTTGAGGTCTGGGTTGAGTTTAAAGTCCTAGTAGGTGCGATCTATCATATTAGGTCACGTCAAGAATTACTTAATGCTTCCTGTTCTTTAACTATGGAGAGATAGTAGGCTAGACCGAACGCCGTTGTGTAAGTCGGTCTTCATGCAGGAAGGCAAATTTGCCAAGAAAAAAAACAAACAACCCCCCCCCCAAAAAAAACTACAACTTGGCAGACATTCTGGTTGTCTCCACTCACTACCAAAGAAGGACAACGTGTGGAATCCCGTTAACAATGCACACCCTCAAAAAAAAAAAAAAACAAAAAGACACCACCTCAAAAAAACAAAAAAAAAAAAAGAACCCCCCAAAAACAACAAAAACTAAACAAAAAAACACAAACAAAAAAAAAACAACAAAAAACAAAAACAAAAAAAGACAAAAAAAGACGACAACTTGGTAGACACTTTGGTTGTCTCTACTCGCTACCAAAGAAGGACAACGCGTGGAATCCCGTTAACAATTGCACCCCCCACCAAAAAAAAAAGCAAAAACAAAAAACAAAAAAAGAATTAAAAAAAAACGCCACCTAAAAAAAAAACAAAAACAAACAAAATAACAAAAAAGAAAACAAATAAAAAATCAAACAAAAAAAAAACAAAACAAAAAAACACAAAAAAAAACAACAAAAAACAAAAACAAAAATAACACAAAAAAAAAAAAAAATCAATAGATTTAAGTAATATAACTAAAATCTCAATTCTTTTTCAAAAATAGGCTCACAGTGACATCAACTCATTTTTTGTGCAAGTCCGGCGTGTGACGATAAACTTCACCCGGATGGAGTTTATCGTCGTCAACACCAAAACTGTCAGGAATCGAAAGATACATAATCGCCCAGGCGTCTATCACGTACGGCACTTAACTGACTGACTGAAGAATATGGCATTTAAGCACAACCAATATACCAGTAATAGTAGGAGCACCAGGAAGAACTAAAAAGAATACTGATACACACATTAAGAAAACGACCACTGTTCGAGATATGTTTGCTACAATAATCTCTTAAGTTAATATGCTCAAGACTTTTTTCTTTAAGTTTCTTTACTCAGGTCTTGGAATTTGAATTATTCGTTTTTTTACGACTTATCAACCTTTTGCACTTTATTTAAAGCCTGTGCATATTTTAAGATTGTAAGAAATTTGGAGGGAGAGATAATTATGATTTGCTGACATAAGTCTTACTAATTAACCCATAGCTGGAGGGGGGAGAATGGGTAGATTCATAATTAAAAGGTAGTCCACTGTCTTAAAAATCTCGATTAGAGGCCTTACTGCCGGATGTAGTTTATCGTCAAAACCGTCATAAATCGAAAGGCACATGATTGTTCACTGGATCTAACTAATGCGTTTATCCACTGTGCCATGTGTCCATGTGACAGGACCCAAAGAGTGTGAGTTCAATACCCAGTTAAGGCAGTGGAGAACTTGGAGAGGGGAATTAACAGGAGATAACTGACAACTGACATCCATCCCCAGTGAGCGAAATAAAGGGTTCAGTTCGACATTCCAACCATTTGAAGAAGGCCGGAGCGTACAACGGTCGAAACGTTGTAATAAATATGGTGACAAAGATGAGGACACTAGTCCGAATAATGTAAATAGTGTACATAATACCTCATCTCAGAAATATAGAAAAATACTGGTATTATGATTATTTACATTATTCAGACTGTTATCCTCATCTTCATTGCCCAGTGGATAAAGACGTTGGTTAGATCCAGTGACTAAACCCAAAGAGTTGTGAGTTTAATACCAGGCCACGGCAGTTGTAAACCAAAAAACTTGGAGAGTTGAGTTAAAGGGAAATAACTGAGACATCCTGTAGAGACATGGCATGTGGAACTAGAACAGCGTACCCCAGTGGATGAAATAAAGGGTTTAGTTTGAATTTCCAATCACCTGAAGAAGGCCGAAGTGTACAACGGCCGAAACGTTGTAATAAATATGGCGACAAAGATGAGGATAATAGTCCGAATAATGTAAATAGTGTACATAATACCTCATCACAGAAATATAGACAGATACTGAAAGGCCGAAACATTGTAATAAATATGGCGACAAAGATGAGGACAATAGTCCGAATAATGTAAATAGTGTACATAATACCTCATCTCAGAAATATAGACAGATACTGAAGGGCCGAAACGTTGTACTAAATATGGCAAGAAAGATGAGGACAGTAGTCCGAATAATGTAAATAGTGTACATAATATCTCATCTGAGAAATATAGACAGATACTAAAGGGCCGAAACGTTGTAATAAATATGGCGACAAAGATGAGGACAATAGTCCGAATAATGTAAATAGTGTACATAATACCTCATCTCAGAAATATAGACAGATACTGAAAGGCCGAAACGTTGTAATAAATATGGCGACAAAGATGAGGACAATAGTCCGAATAATGTAAATAATGTACATAATACTTCATCTCAGAAATATAGACAGATACTATAAGACTTAGCGGTATAAAGCTCTCCCCAAGATCAAAGTATGTTTGTCATTCTTTTTTCTTTCACCTATTTTGTTCTGATGGTCAAATAACTTGTTTTATCATGGATATAATAATGTCCATAATGGAGAAAATGCAAACTGAGGGATTTATTTCTTCCATATCTCACTCATTACGAGCTTATCTCGCCTGCAGGAGAGGGAGAGACCTCTCTTCCCTGGTTCACGTCAGCGAGGCATAGACTTACAGCATCGGGGACAACCGTAGAGCGTTTCTTTTAAAAGTTATGAACTGTGTTAATTTAGTTTCATGTTGCTGTTAATGGCTACGGATTTCTTTTTTTTACTGGAGGCTTCTTATCTTTTTTTTTTCTTTTCTTGTAAGCTGATGAAAACAGAAAATATACAAAACCGTTGGAAGTTTTTGGTTCGCTAGAATGAAGGCTGTAGAGAGAAAGAGATAATCTCACACACTAAAAACTCGGAGAAAAAAAATCCTTATATTTGATACGGTTTTTTTTCTTTGATACACGTTCACGCATGCGTTGATCACAGCCTTGCGCATTTTACTGTACTGGAAACAGTGTCAATTAAGTACGTTGACAAAAACGAACGAATGACAAAATTAAATAAAAAAAAAAAAAAAAGGAAGGGTTTTTATATTATTTTTTTTTCTTATCTGCTTGGTTTTTCCTTCAAATGTTTCTGTTTCTCCGAAACGCATGGAAGACAAACAACAGAAAACCGCGCAAAAAAAAAAAAATGGCATAACAAAGTTTACGAAACGCTAGATTCAATTTCTCGCTAATTGTCTTCTGATTAAATTTATGACGTTCACAGCGGCGGCATTATTTCAGTTTTATTTTGCATGTATTTATTTTATTTTTTTTTTCAATTCAACTGATTTTCAAAATGGCTGCCGCGCTTTCGCATGCGCGGTAAATAATGGCGGCTCTAAACTCGTTTCTTACTTTCTTTCTCTCTCTGACTTTCTTTCTTTCTTTCTTTCTTTCTTTCTTGTGTCTTTCATAGTTATTTGATAAGAGATACACTGCAATTTTGCCTATATGTGAACACCAATTCACATTGAAGGTTTCGCAAATCGAGATACCTTTTAAAACAAATGCTGTTGCCACATCATAGAAAGCCGATTGTTTTCTGATCGGTAGTCATTTCTATCTATCTATCTATCTATCTATCTATCTATCTATCTATCTATCTATCATATCTATTATCTATCGTATCTATCTGATTATATTCAGGCTGTTCGTATCTATCTATGTATCTAAGGCTGTTGTATCTATCTATCTATCTATCTATCTATCTATCTATCTATCTATATATATATAAGTATTTTCGTATCTATCTATCTATCTATCTATCTATCTATCTCAGTCTGTTCGTATATATCTATTTATATATAAGTCTATTTCTATCTGTCTTTTCTATCTATCTATCTATCTGAATTCTATCTATCTATCTATATCTATCTATATCTATCTATCTATCTGTTCTATCTATCTATCTATATATATATATAAGTATTTATATATCTATCTATCTATCTATCTCAGTCTGTTCGTTATTTATCTGTCTATCTCAGTCTGTCCATATCTATCTATCTATCTATCTATCTATCTATCTATCTATCTATCTATCTATCTATCTATCTCAGGCTGTTCGTATCTTTATGTATCTTTCTCTTTGTATCTATCTATCTATCTATCTATCTATCTATCTTTATATATATATATCTATATATCTATTTATTTATCTGTTTTCTATCTATCTATCTATCTATCTCAGTATCTATCTATTTATCTGTCTTCTCCAGTCTATCTGTATCTATCTATCTATCTATCTATCTATATCTATCTATCTATCAGTTTCTGGAGATCTAGTATATCTATCTATCTATCTCTTCTATCTATCTATCTATCTATCTATCTATCTATCTATCTATCTATCTATCTCAGTCTGTTCGTATCTATCTATCTATCTATCTCAGTTTGTTCGTATCTATCTATCTATCTATCTATCTATCTATCTATCTATCTATCTATCTCAGTCTGTTCGTATCTATGCATCTTCGTATCTATCTATCTATCTATCTATCTATCTATCTATCTATCTATCTATCACAAACTTCATTATCTATCTATCTATCTATCTATCTCAGATCGTTATATATTTATCAATATCAGTCAGGGATTGTTTCGCTTTCTATTTTCTCTGTCTATGTGTTGTATTCTTTGGAGTAAGTCCCTCGAATGTTTGATGTGTGCTGTACCGATGGTACCTAGGAACAATGTTAGGATTTAACTGATGTCTCTAGATAAATTGTGGGTTGCACTCTCAATTTCGGATACAATGAGCCTAATGGTTATGTCGGGTTTGTGGGTCTTGGGTAAGCCATATAGTATGGGTGAAGTGGGATGGTAATCTGTTAATCTAGACCAAGATTTGTTTTCATTTTTAATAGCTTCTTGATAATTTTGTTGCACTTATATGTTTCACTGTTTATGGTAAGTTCATTGCTTTTAGTGTAGGTGTTGTCGTTACTTCGGATGGATTCTAATTTTACAATATAGATGTTGATTGTAGAGGACCATATGGGGTCACCAATCTGTAGTGGACCGTGTGTTTAGCGTGTAATTAAATTAGGAACACATGCTGTTTTTTCCTGTTTAGACGAAGGTCCAACTACAAGAACAACGCGGGCTCAAGTTGAGTCCAACCGAAGATGTAAAGAAAACAAACAAGACCGATATATATATATATATATATATATATATATATATATATATATATATATATATATATATATAAACCAACATATGTATTAAACAACCGATTTACAGGTGACAAAGACATCAACATTTGTGTTTGTGTGTGAACGTAAAGAGTTTGTATTTTGGTGAATGTTCGTACGTACGTGTATGTGTGTTTCATGGCGTTTTCTCACAAGTGGGAAAAAACGCTGATCTCTTTTTTTTAATTGTGTCCGCTGAAATGCAAAATAAAAAAAGAGAACGAGGCAAGAAGTCGCCCAGTATTTATAGTGTAGGGAGAGCGACCCCTAGTGAACAATTAAGGAATTAAGAGGAGGTAACTCCGACATGGTGTTCATAATCATTATACGGCTTTTTTTGTCGGATGGCGTTATAATAATGTTTTTTTTTTTTTTTTTT